ATTAATATATATATATTTTTTATTTTTAATATTAATTTATATTAATATAAATATAATTTTTATTAATATTTAAATAATAAATGATTTTTATTAGGTCCGCTGCTCGTTTAAACTCAATGGTTTGTGCAATATCCACTATTGGTCTAGAGTCGACCAATCCTGTCACGACACAAGTCGGCGATGACGTTTACGTATTATACGAGTCTCTTTTAGCGTGTTTATATGAACACGATTGCATTTTTTTTCACTGTGTTATACAAATCCATATTATATGAACCCATGTTATAGGGGAGTCTACTGTAATTCTATTTGGGCAATTTTCTATTTCCACATCAACCATAATTATTCAACATACACTATCTGTTTTAAAATCCTGAACTTTTATATTTTTATGAACCAACAATAATGTACCCATACTTCCGCAACATGCAAACAAACTATAAATATGAAAGTAAGCACATTGGGTGATCGGTTAACAAACATAATCCGTTCCAAGACTTTGTTCACTATCCGAATTGTTCGTTAACCGATTATCGATTTACCATAGGTTTCTTTGGAATTTGATTAATTCGTTCTGGAGACCCCAAAAATAAAAAAGTATATATTTTCTTACTCGATCTAACCAGCTATTTGATTATTATTATTATTATTATTGGTTACTACTAAATTTTGTGTTTCCAAAATTTCTCTTTCTTCATTTTTCTTTTCAAATGCTGTTTTCACTAGTTCCCTACTAAGTCCTAATCTATTCACACAGTATCTGACAAAGTTTTCTTTTACTCTTTTCTCTGTTTCCTTACTAATTTCTATTCTCTTAATTTCATGTAGTTTGTTATCTGTGATTTTTTTGCTTAATTCTCTTTGTAAATTCTTCAGTTTGTCAAATCATTCTATTTTACTCTTTTTTCCATACTACTTTCACTATGCCATTTATCTTAATTTTTTGTTCCTTTCACTTATCCAAGTTCAGTTCATCAAGCACATTTTTAATTTTTCTCTGAAAGTCTGCATCTAATAGTATTTCATATTTCTTTCCTACTTTTTTCTATACTTATCTTTTTTATCATTTTGTAATCTGTGAACCTTCTAGCTCCTTGTATTAGTTCATATGTTAATATTTCATTAATTTTACCTATTTGTTCACTAATGTAGATAAGATCAAGGCAGTCCTGGACTTTCCTCCCTTCCCAGGTAAATCCCAGAAAATGCAAATAGGCAACCTGGTAGGTATCTTTAAAGTTATAATTGTCTACAAGTTTCTTTACTATACCCCGCAATCCATTAAGATGTATAGGCCTGTTTTTGTCATCAAGATTTATACTGTGTTATACCCCAATAATATTAAGTCTCTTCCTCCATAAAGAAATTAGCTAAGCCCTTAAAAAGTACACTTCTAATCAAGACTTGAGCAGGTGCATATACATTTATGATCCTGATATGTCTGTTGCTAATCTTGATATCTATCACTTAAATGCTACCACCTGAATCTGTTTTAAAATGTTGTATCTTTAGTTTCTTATTAATCATCATTATTACTTCCATACTCCTAATTGCAAAGGACATAATTATAATATATATATATAACATAAATCTTTCTTAAGTCTTTGAAATTGTAGATGCTAGTGTCTTGTATAAATAAAATATTAAGTTTTTTTGGCTAGTGCTGTATTTAAAATAAAAAATTATAAAATTTTTATTTTAAAAATAGTACTAACCTTAAATATCCAATTCTAAGCTATTATATTTATTTTTTCCAATCTCTATTTCTTGTCCAATTAGTCTTTCTTTTTCCTTTACATGTGCCAATTCAATCTCTACTATCTCTCTTGGGTGATAGCAGAACTGCTGAATGCTTCTTTGTGTTCCCAACTTTTCCTCACAGGATCTTATGAGTTCAGCTGTATCAATATGTTCCTTGCAAAGTATTCTCATCAATCATATCGTCGAGTATTCTCTAATCTTCTCAGGCTCCTCCTCCAATGATGTCTCCTTCATTGGTTCTTCAGTTCCTAGGTTTGTCCCAGCCAAAGCCATACATGGGTGTATGTGAAATGGCATATTCCATTATCCATCCTTTCTGTAGATTGCAAAAAAGCTTTCGACACAGTCAAATCTGGAAGTTTTATGGAAGTTTCTTGATGCTTTTGGCCTAAATTAGGATGAAATTGACAAAATAAAATTACTTTACAGGACACCAAGCACAAAAATAAAAATAAACAATATAGAGAATCTGAAAATATTGAATGTAGAGCAGTAATACAACAGGGGCATCCCTGCTCAATGATACTTTTTACTATCTACATAGATGTTCTGTTAAAAATTATTATTAATGATAATTTTGTCACTCCAGTACACAATCCAGGGATGAATCAAACTATTAAATTCATAGCACATGCAGAGGATATAAACTTTATAACAATGAACAAAGTTGCATTAAATGGGGTCACTCAAAAAATTTACCTTACTAATTTTTAAACTTTCTATTAATTTAACTTTTTTTACAAAAAGGTCTTTCTGCTTTCCTCTTTATACTATAATTGTTAATCTTATAATTAATGTAATTTTCCTTATTTCTAGTTTCAATTTCCTTACAAATTTCTTTCTAGTTTCTCAATTTCATTAATATTTTCTTGTATTATTGTTTTTGATAACTCTCTTTGTAATCTTTTTAATATATTAAATTTTCCTTTTTTAATTCTATTCCAAGTCATTTCAATTATATTTTGAAACTTTTCTTAAATTAACCCACTTTTGACAATTTAGCCTCTCTTTCACAATCTAACAAATGTTTAATGTGAATAACAAATACATCATCATTTAACATAACTAAAGAAATTTTAACTCTAGTTTTCACCTTTAATCTTTCTTTTAACTTCATCATGATTGGAGATCCTCTTTCCTTCATTAGTTAACTCATGATTTTCAATACTAACAATTTTATTTATATTTTCAGACACATAGATACGATCCAGGAGTTCTTTTATTCTGCAACCCTCCCATTTAAATCCAGGATGAGATAGATTTAAAACCTTAATTAAGTATCAATAAGGTTAAAATCAGCTAATATCCTATTAAAATACCACAAACTATCAAGCTATAAAGAGGCATTCTTATCTAAAACAGATAACACATTGTTAAAATATCCCATTAAAATTATCTCCTTCCCTCCCACTAAAAAACTGATTAAAATCTTAAAAAAATCTTTACTTTCTGTGGCTCGAGTTGGTGCATAAATACTATACACCTATACTATATAATGCTATAAATACTATATAATGCTATAAATACTATAAATACTAACACAGTAGACCCCCTATAACACGGTAGATACGTTCCATTTGATATGAATTCCATGTTTTATGAGTCAATTAAATACATGAGCCAATGTTTGCAGTGTGCTGTTTAGGGACTATGGCTGTTTGAAAGGCTTTCTTCCATAAAAATTAATCGATTCTAGACTAATTTGAATCAACATTTCCAAAACACACACAATTTTTTGGGAATAATCCATATAAACTATGCTATAAACAAAAAACTGTAGGATTACTTACCAAGTGCGCACCGTTCGACGACGCCATTGCTTAAGCTTGAGTTCATCGCAGAGTGGCGCATCGAAAAGCAAGAGTGTTTCCTGATAAGTTATTTTTCTGCAAAAAATTTGCTGAACTTTAGAGACATCATTAATATATATATATTTTTTATTTTTAATATTAATTTATATTAATATAAATATAATTTTTATTAATATTTAAATAATAAATGATTTTTATTAGGTCCGCTGCTCGTTTAAACTCAATGGTTTGTGCAATATCCACTATTGGTCTAGAGTCGACCAATCCTGTCACGACACAAGTCGGCGATGACGTTTACGTATTATACGAGTCTCTTTTAGCGTGTTTATATGAACACGATTGCATTTTTTTTCACTGTGTTATACAAATCCATATTATATGAACCCATGTTATAGGGGAGTCTACTGTAATTCTATTTGGGCAATTTTCTATTTCCACATCAACCATAATTATTCAACATACACTATCTGTTTTAAAATCCTGAACTTTTATATTTTTATGAACCAACAATAATGTACCCATACTTCCGCAACATGCAAACAAACTATAAATATGAAAGTAAGCACATTGGGTGATCGGTTAACAAACATAATCCGTTCCAAGACTTTGTTCACTATCCGAATTGTTCGTTAACCGATTATCGATTTACCATAGGTTTCTTTGGAATTTGATTAATTCGTTCTGGAGACCCCAAAAATAAAAAAGTATATATTTTCTTACTACGTTTATCCATATGTATTAATAAAAACACATATATACACGGTCTTGCATTTTTATTAGTCATGTTTATTCTGTTTGTGGGGGTTAAAGAATCTGTCCAATGTCGATTGCTTTTCTGTCTTATTCATGATTTTTCAGAAGTAATTAATAGCATTGTAATTGTAGAGATCCCTATGCTTATTAACCTCAACTTGGTTTAGATGCCATTTTAAAGACCATTGTTCTGACATCCTCCTTCAAAAGATCTTTAATAGCAGATATCGGCATAAATCTGCATTTTCAGAAGAAAACATAAAAGAATTGTTTCTGTCAGAAATTCAAAAGGCTGGAATTACAAGGGAGAATTTCAAAGTTTGGGGGAATACTATCTGATCAGTATATACTGGGTAGAACGTTGATGTCAACGTCTCCTGCGCTCTGAAAAGTTTCGAATTGTTGTCTGAAGACAAAGGAAGACCAATCGGTATTCGTTATTTTACGTCGCTTCTTGTGTTTGTTCAGTGAAGTGTTTGTTATCTGAACATGTATTCGTTGTCCGATCATAAAAATCTTTTGCAAAAGTGTTCGTTATCCGATTTGTTCGTTAACCGATCACCCACTGTATATACTTTTGTAATTGTCTTAATTCTATAAAGTTATCAATATTGGTATCTTGCATAATGAGGATTTCTACTTGTCTGGTAAGTACTAAATTTAATATATTTAATCGTTTAATTCTATCCTTAAAACCATAAATATTTATCTTTCTAATACAGTAATACCTCGACTTACGCTACCCCGAATTACGCAAACCCGGAGTTACGCGATTTTCAAATCTTGTCGATTTGTCTTTTGTTTGAGCACCACGCAACTCTTGATTACTCACTCCCACAACACTATTGTTCGGCTTACATGTTCGGTCATGTCGCGCGGAATCGATGCATAGTTACAATTTATTTTGTGTTATTTATTTCTGTGTTTGTTATATCTACGGAGACTCAAGAGACAGTACTATGTCATCTAAACGAAGTAGAACTGATTCTTCTGCATCAAACAAGAAAAGAAAAACTTTATCTTTGGAATGTAAAGTTAACATTATAAAAGACTTTGATACAAAAACGAAAATTTGTGAATTGGCAAAGAAGTTTGATCTACTGGAATCAACGGTCAGAACAACTATAAAAAGGTAAATAAAAAATTCTCAAAGCTGTGAAAAATGCTCAATCTTTAAATTCAAGCATCATTTGTAAACTTCACAGTATTATCGCTGAGATAGAAACAATGTTAAAATTATTGTGTGATAATCAAGTAAATGTGAAAAGTTGTATAATAATATAATTTGTTATACATATGTATTATCTAAGATTTTATTAAACATTTTTTTCTGAATTATTGTTTTCTTTAGTCTCCGGCACCAATTAAAAATTATTTGTATGTATTTAAATGCGAAATTATACCCCGACCTACGCGGTTATCGCTCGGTCCCACCTATCGCGTAAGTTCGGGGTATCACTGTACAGTGAAACTTTGGTATATGACCTTAATCCGTTCCTGATGTTTGGACTTATATTGAATAGGATGTATACCAAACAAACCTTTCCCATAAGGTGTAATGTAAAAATGATTAATTCATTCACATGTAAAAAAAAATGGTTGGCTTTAAACAACTCACTTTTTTGGCTAGTTCCTGCTTGATTTTTCATGAGATCAGTATGTATCTTTTTAGCTTTCTCGCAAATAATTGCTTCTGATATGGTGTCGCCAGCACACTGTTTTTCAGTTATCCAAAGCAAAAGCAATTTCTCAACATGATCTAATGTCTTCAATCTCTGTTTAGAAATTGATTTAACCCGTTTCGCAACGTTAGCAGATTTAATAATGTCTTCATTTTTCACGATTGTCAATATTGTCGTTCTCGAAATACGGTATGCAACAGTTAAAATCTTGAACATGCATGCCACCTTCATATTTCTCAATAATCTCTTTTTTCAGTTCCATTGTGATTCTAGTCATTTTTTTTTTTTTTTTAGTTTTCTATTGCTTTTCCTTTGCCTTCTTGCAATTCACAATTAATAAAAATAATAAAATTTAACTTACAAATTAAAATCAAAAGAAATTTAACAAAGTTATAAACAGTGGACCACGAGCATCTAGTCTGGTCTAGTCTTCATAGATGGCGCGCATAATTGAATTAAGTCGTATACTGAGCAAAATTTGTTTGTCCAAACAGGACATATTCCAAATTGGACGTATTCTAAAGCAGATGTATATCGAGGTACCACTATATTTAGAAACTTATCCATTATCTTTTCTAGGTGTGTTATTCTTCATTGACCTCTTAGCATTTAACTTCATTATATCTATCATACTTAATGATAAAGATTTCTTTAAAATTCCTAAAAATTCATTTAAATTGTCTGTCTTTGACCTGTACCTAATTCTACTCTACTCTCTAATGTCTCTATAGTTCACTGAACAATCCCTGTTAATTAATGTTTTTCATTTCTTTTTCTCTTTTTATCATCCAACTGTAACATTTATCTATTTACTACCCTTCCCTGTCTCTGCGTAACTATTTCTCCTTCCTGAGCTTCTATGCTACTTTCTACTATACTGTTCTGTCTTTTCTTTTCCAAACTTAGTTCTTGTTTTCTTTTAGTACTTTTACTCCATGGTCATCTCTGACAGACTTCAGCTAATGAAGATTCAGCACATGCTCTATCTATATCATATACAGTTTTGCGGTGGTAACAAATGTTACGCTTTATGTAAATGGTAAGGGTTTTTACAAATATAGCATAATTTTACATTACAGGTCACAATTTCATGGTGTATGCTACCACATCGCTTACATTCTTTACATTGTCCAACATAAATTAACCCCTTGGACCCAAGATAACTCGGTCAGGTTACCTAGCGTTACAAAACAACGGTCGTTTGGACTCCCTCAAAAAATTTTTTTTATTTTTGGATGTTTTTTAAGTCTCCAAATTTTTTCCAAAAATTTTTTCCCACGTGAAAAAATTTTATCGCGATTTTAATCTACCTTTAATGAGGTACAATTAACACTTAATTGTTTTTTAATGGGATTTTATCATCAAATTTCATTCATCGTTCTAAAGTTCTAGTGCATGGATTTTACTTTGGTAAAGTTATTTAAAGCTAGTTTCTGATGTCAAAAACGACCTCCAATAGTTTTTTTATATATACGTTTAATTAAATCAGGGGTTCGGAAATCGCAATAAAAACGCAATTTTTTTAAAATATTTTAAAATATATGGCCAGCTAGTATTCACTCTACTTTAAACCCTTCTCCTCCTGAGACGACTATGAGAATGTACCGGGAAATCCAACACCAGCTGTTCTCAAGATCATCCAGCTGTAAACACAATGACTCATTGGTGTCAAATTTCACAGAAAGGCGACAATGGAAAATAAAGTTTGAAGCTTTCTCTTCAAAATTAATGCATTTCTTTCCTTTTTTTTCAGTTTTAAGTATTTTTTTTGTTTAATTAAAAATTCCTAAAAAACAGTTTGAGGAACAAGTGGTTAATTGAATTGTTCTACTAAAAATTAGGTATACATTTTCATGTTACCATCACCACATGGTAAGTACCTGTTTTACTGACATACCAGAGCAAGTATTTACAAATATTTTAACTACTTTTCCATATTTAGATATTATTTCTCCCATTATTTCTTTATCTACTTCATTAAGTACAAAACAAACTGACACAATATCTCTGATTCTAGGCTTTACGAAGTGTAAGTAAATTTGCCTACCTTTACATCATGTCCTACAAGATTCACTTTGGGTTAAAATCAGTGGATGACAATTTCAACAATGTTTCTTGGACAATAACAAACTTGCTCAACCCTTTCTGGTCTTCCAAGTGCTTCATCTACTGTCTTAATAAGTTCCATCACTTCCAGTCGTTCCTTGGACACTATCCTGACTGACCTCACAGCTGACTGCTCACAGCTTCTTGACACAATCCCTCTCATCCAGCAATGTTTCATTGTCCTTTTTAGGTGCTGTCATCGGGATGTCGAACTCTGAAAAGCTTCCAGGAGTCAGTTGAGAAAAGCTAACCTGAGTGGCCTCATTGTGGATAGGACAAAATGCATTAGTCCCAACTAGAAGTCCCAAGCAGCCTGGGATTGACTCGTCGATGGAGAGAGCTTCCCGTTCAACAGTCCATAGCCGACAACATCGGCTCAGCAGAGGTTAAAGACACTAAAACAGTTAAAAAGTAAACTCACCAGAAAGGCATAAAACACTTGTAGACACCAAATAAAATTAGTAAAAACTTTGTTGAACAGTAAAATCATCTAATAAAATCCAGTAAAGCAGGTAAAAAAAATCTGCAAAAAACAAAAAATCAGTAAATTGCTTCCAAAATCAAGAACAGATATTGTGTTTTATTAAATTTTGTAAAGTCACAATCATGAGCAGTAGCTCGACAATTATGAAATAAACAAACATGGCAAAAATAAAAAACAAAAAGTTAGTATAACATTGTGAAATGAGACATAAAATAGTTAATAACAACATATATATCTTATCAGGTTATATGAGGTCAAGTTTCACCAAGAAACACAGCATTGCAAACTTACAGTAAGTATATAACAAACAAATCCATAAATTATGGAATGTATAAAGGGAACATTGTTATAACAGTAAGTATAACAGTAGTAAATACAATAATTTTTGAAATTAAATAAGAAATATAACTCAAAATATAAACATCAAACAATAAAATATAAACAAACTCCAAATAAAATTAAACATTCAAAACAACAAACATCAATTAAATACAAAACATCAGAAATATAAAACTCTTAAAATTACATCTATTACCATTGATCATTAAATAACAATTTTACCATCAATTTTTTTCCATATTATATGTTTTGTCCTGAAATATAACTTCTTTTATTCTCTTAATGTTACTTTCTGACAATCAACTTTTATCTTTAAACTAGCCTCTTCCCAAATCTTATTTACTATCAGAGTTAACAACTTATTTCACAACTTATTCTAAAATATAAGAACACATCTTGCTTTCCAAATCAACCTATTGGCCAGAGCAAGCATCCAATTAATCATGTATCTGTTCTGATTTCTTACTGGTAAGTTAATATGGTATTTAATGTTTTCCCATGTTATTAATGTCCTAAAAATTTTATTTATCCAGGCCCAAGTTTTTCATGCAATTCTACATTCATAGAATACATGAAAAATAGTTTCATCAAGGACCCACCAGGAACATTATGCATCGTGTCAATGTTGGTAAGTATAAAAGATAAATTTTTAATTTTATACTTATTTTATTTTATTAACATTATTTTACTTTAAATTTTTTATTTTAATTTAACATTATTATTCAAAATCCTCCAGGTGAATTCTTTCCACTCAGCTGGAAGTGCTTCAACATTTACCCATATTTCATTCCAATTTAAAGTTTTATTTATCATATTGCTACTAATATGTTGTTTATGCAAATTTTTATATAGAAGATACAGTCTAATTTTTACATTATTTTCTCCAATTTGATCATTAATTAATTAATTCAATTACAATTTCTCTCCACCGTTTATATTTTTTAGTATTATCTATCAAAAAATGGCTTACTTCCTTCCAGCTGAGTGATCTTTCTAACCATAGGCCAAAGAATGTATTGTGTTATATGAAATAAAGTGTTATGTTCTTGTTTTTTAATTGCATTTATCATATTGGCACTCAAGGCTCTTCAGATCTCTCACCCTCCATCCTCCCTGTCTAAAATCAATCATCATCTTTCTGCTTAATGATTCAAAAGTGTTTTGAACCATTAAGCAAAAAGCACTTTACCTCTAACCATTAAGCACTTTTTTCCCTCTTGTTATTTCTCTATTAATATTATTATCATTTTTTATCTTTACAAGTTCAACAGATTCACCAACCTCATCCCAGTATCTCCAATATACAGGTCTTTCTAAAATCTTAATCTTCATTTGTTAAATAAGTTATATACATGATAAACATAATTATAGCTATCAAAATTTTATTCACTGCTATTACACGTTCAGATAGATAAATCCAATGTATTATTTCCCATTCTTTTATTGTCTCATTTATTTTTTGAATCATACTATCTAAATTCTTTTGTATATTACTTTTACCATACCAGACTGAGTACTTTTATAATGTCCATAATTTCAATATCCATGAAATCACTATCCATGTTCCTGTGAATATATATCAATTTACTTTTCTTTTTGTTAATCCTCATTCCAGTTAAATTACTGAAAATCTTAATTTTTTTATATTACTTTTTTCAATGATACTTTATTTATAATTATAAAATTTATATCATCTGCATGAACAATATATTTAATAACTTTATTCATTCTGGGGACATGGACTGGTGTAATGAAACCATCCCTTATGATCATTTTTAGTAATACTTCTATATATATTATGAACCACATTACAGAGCAGGGGCACCCTTATGTATCCGTGCTCTACATTCTATATAATCAGATTCCTTGTTATTTATATTAATTTTCATTCTCGGCATCTGGTATAATAATTTTATTCTATAAATTTCCAATCATTTAAGCCAAAACTTCCTGGAATTTTCCATAAAATATCCCTATTTACAGTATGAAAGGCTTTCTCTACGTCGACAGAGAAGATGGAGAGAAGGAATCTGTCTCTTTATTAAAGTATCTTGTACTTATTTTAGGAACATAATGTTATCTTGAGTTGTGTGTCCTTTTATTCCAGTATTCTGAGTACTCGCCACATTTTGCCAAAAAAAACCTCCTCAAGTCGCTTAGCTAAAATACTACTGTAAACTTTATAATCTAAATTTAAGAATGTTATTGCTCTAAAATCCCCAATCTGGCTACCCGCATTATTTTTCTTACTAATTAACACCATTTTCCTTAGGCTGAAATTATCATTAAAAAGTGCATAATTAAATAAACAAAAAAAAATATTAATCAAATCTTCCCCAAAAATACAATAAAACTCTGCAGGGAGTCTATCAACACCAGGAGCCTTCTTACTGTGTAAATTATCTATAGGTTCCTTTATTTCCTCTTTTGTTATGTCTCTATTAATAATAATATCTTTTTTATCTTTTACAGGTTCAACAGATTCACCAAACTCATCACAATATCTCCAATCAGTTTCCGGACTTCTATATAGGTAAGTATAAAACTTCTGACATTTCCTTATAATTAGTAATGAGAATGAAATAATATCATTATTTATTAACAGGTTATTAATTTCCAATGTTTCTCTTTCCTTATTTTTCTTCTCAAAAACCACTTTTTCTGCTTCTCTATTAATCCTATCACTCTATATCAGGGGTGTCCAATGTGGCCCAGAGGAGCAAAAAGATTGCCTTTTGCTCCTCTGGGCCACATTGGAAGAAGTCATGGAGTTTTGGGCCACAAATATATATAATATATTTGTAAATCCTATGTAATTTAGAAACGTTAATCCTTAAATATAAAAGTATATTTAAGGATTAATGTATCTAAATTACATAGGATTCACAAATATATTATCACAAATTCATATATACAAATATATTATCACTAAATTACATAGGATTCACAAATATAATCCTTAAATATACAAGTATATTTAAGGATTAATATATCCAGATTATAGTAATAAGTATTAAAACTTTATCACAAAAAAGGATATTTTTAAAAAATTACTTCTACAGACACTTTCAATTTTTACTTAGAAATTAGATAAATTCATTTATTATAAAGGAGACAAAAATTTATTTGAAAAACACATATTTGTTTTATTTGGGTCTCTAATTAATTAATAAAAAAACGATGAAACACCATTTTAAAGTGCATTTTTATTCGACTAATATATTTATAAATAATATGTAGCCCAAAAAGTAGCCAATGTGCCAAATGATCATTTTTACGCCAAACTAAAAAAAGGGTAGCAAACTTTGGCGCAAATTAGCCAAATCTTGCAATGCTGGAAGGGATACTAAATAATGCTGGAGTTGGAACTCAAAGGATTATAGACCCAAATTTGAGAAAGGAGAGAAAGGCCAAAAGATAAAAAGTAGTGAGGAAAATTGGAAAATTAAGAGTCAAAATTTGCATAACAGTCTATTTAACTTTTCACACTACTTTTTGCCTTTCTCTCCTTTTCTCAAATTTGGGTCTATAATTCTTTGAGTCACAACTTCAGCTTTATTTAGTATTCCTTCGTCATTCACACATCTCCAGGTATTTGAAAATATTTCCTTTTCACTCAAAAATAAAATATGTATGAAAGTTTATGGCTTTGTGAAACTTATTTTTTGAGTTTATGCCATCAAAATAAATAAATAATTAAAATAAAACAATTTGTCAGTTTTGTTTACATGTTTATTGGGCCGTGTTGGAACTTGCCTTGGGCCGCAAGTTGGACACCCTGCTCTATATCTTACATAATTCTCCTTTATTGTTTTTTCTATTTTAGCACAAATCTCTAGCTCTTCTCTTAACTTTTTTTGTTTTCTATTATCTTTTCACTTAGTTCTCTCTGTAACCTTTTATCTTATTTATCATGCCTAATTCTTTTCTATACTAACTTAACAACTTTATCAATCTCTCCTTTTTCCTCATTCCACTTTTCCCAAGTTAACATGTCTTTATTTTTATCTAGAATATTTTTAACTTTTCTTTGAAATACAAAATCCGTTAATATTTCATTGGTAATCTTATTCCTTCTCTTTCTATTATTTTCAATACTAACTTCTTCTAAATAAACCATCTTGTGATCTGTTACTCGTCTTCCATCTTTAACTAATTGATTAATTGATATGCTATTGATTTTACCTATTTTTTCATTTATATAGGTACGGTCCAAGTGCTCACTGACTCCCCTTCCTTCCCAAGTAAAACCTGAAAAATATGGATAGATGAGTCAGTAAGAATCAATAAAACTACAATCACCTATAATTTTACTTGAAATCTCACATGACCATCTGGTTGTAAAGACCCTTTTGTCAATAGGACTTGAAACATAATTAAAATCTCCAGCTAAAATTAAATCTATCCCCCACTAAGAATAGGACACGGGAGAGCGATGACAAATCCAGCCAGTTGTCCTCCAAAGTTTGCCTCCCCAAGAGTCATAATGTGCAAAATACCGTGCCTCTTATCATAATACCATGCACAGAATAAATAAAAATATTATTATTAAACTAACAAGAATGTGTAAAAATACCGCCTCTCAGATCTGAACATCTTAAAGATTGATATGTACTAATGCTGCATATGTTAGAAAGATGAATGATGAAGTATATTCTTCAGTGATGAAACAAAGTAAGACTTGCGTGGTTTTGATGGCTGAAATTATTACTGGCATAATCTGAGAAAAGAACAGAGTTTTACATCAGACAAGGTCTGATGTAAAACTCAGTAGCTCTCTAATAGTGTGGGGAGCATTTGGATTCAATGGAATTTCCAGTCTAGAATTTCTTTCTGGATGTCAGACTTCAGAACATTATCAAGATACCTTAAAACAACATCTCCTTCCTATAGCAAAAATGATGAAATATCCCATTTGGACCACCTAACATGACAATGCTCCCATTCATTGTTCAAATTCAACCAAAAATAGCTTCAGAATCAAAAGTGAATGTCATGAAATGGCCTGCAAGTAGTTCAGACCTTCAACCAATAGAAAATTTATGGAGGATTGTAGCAAGAGAGGTGTATGCAGGTGGTTGTCAGTTTTCAAATGTTATGGAACTTAAATATGCAAGAAGATTCATGATATAACTTGAAAGCACAATAGTTACAAACTTTTGTGAGTTCAATGTAAAATCATGTGTTTGATGTTCCTAAAAATTATGGAGCACAATTAGCCATTAAATAATTTTTTTCCACAATTTTAAAAATTTACTTAAACATTTTGGATGACAGAGTTTAGCAAAATTTCTATTATTGTAAGCATCTTCATAACTATTAAATTGTTAAATTTTTCTTTTTAATGATATTTAATGTGATTTATTGTGATCTCATTTCACTTATTACATCAATTAAAAGTTCAATATTTTAAAAGTTCATGAAAAATCATTTTACCTTAAAAACTTTTGGGATACACCTTACTAGCAATTGTTTTTATTTTTACACATGGATTTTTTTTTATAATTTATCTATTTCTGGGTTATGTTTGTCATCAACTCTAATCCCCTAAGTCCATTTTACTGCTAATTAATTCACTTGTCTTAGATACTTTTAAGTTAATAATAAGCCAAACAATCACCATAATGAATCTAGATACTTTATCATCACTATTAATAATAATAGTAAGTAGGTTTGAGTACCACTCAGGGCCAATTTCTCTTCTTCCAGAATATTCTAAATTATTTACTAAATATTAATTATATTATTTAATAACTACAGTAGAGCATCAATTATCCAAATCAATTGGGGACTGGGGTTGTTTGAATAACCAATTATGTACTAAAAATATATTAAACTATCCCATGTTGAAATTCATTAAAACCCTGGCACTTCCTTAAGTACCCTCTCATGGTCGTGACAATGCTGCTAGCTAAAACACACACACCAGCAAAAATAATATTAGAGTAGCCCAAGACATAGCCAAAGATTGCAGCGCCACGGCACTAGCGGAAATTTAAATTTTCCATCTGGAAAGCTTTCGGTTAATTGACATTTCAGTTGATTGATATTCAGATAATCGATACTCTATTATATAATTATTAAATTTAATAAGAGCCTCTAATAGCACATTACTTAGAATTTAATTATTAGCAATAGCAATAGCAGCAGTTACAGATACAGTCTTAGGTCAAGACTCCACTAGTGTAAAATCCCTGTTTCTAATTATTTTCAGTCATATGACATATTTGTGTTTGGATTATGGTGGAAGTCTAGTTACACTAGCTATGTTTTTTTATGGCAATAATACTGCCACTAGATCAAACACTTTTTCACATACAAATAGATGGAAGCAAAGCATTGTAGCTTCATTGTTTGTGACTATCAGTTTTCTCAAAAAAAGTCAAAACAGCTCAAAACAAGCCAGATACATTATAAACTACAAGCCAACCAATGCTGATAACATATGGCATTGGTTGGCTTGTAGTTTATAATGTATCAGGTTGTAATGTTTGTTTCTCAAAACATCTTAAATGTATCTATATAAATTCATATAATAAAATTTTTCCATTTAACTTCGTAAGTAAAAACTTGTTTATGTACAATTTTATATTGTACTAGCAGACCCTGCCACACATTGTTGTGGCTCAAAATGTATCTATTATAAATGTATAACACTTCCCCCGTGGGGGGAAATTTTTCGAAAAATTTCTTCTTAGTGTACATTCTCTTGACGTACCTTATTAAAACGCAATCAAAAACGCAAAAACCCGCATCTAAAATAGTATAATAGAAGCCAAGTTCTTCACAGTAAGCCTTAATTAATCCTAACCATCTCCCTTCAGTGGGAGGAATTTCGACATGTATATTATATAAAAACACGTGCTTATTCGAATGCAGTGTTGTGTCAAAGTTTCAAGGGAATCGGTAGGAACAAACAAACATTGCATTTTTATTTATATAGATAGATAGAACATAATCTGGTTTAGTTAATCCTCACAGAAAAGCATAATGCCTCACAGAAAAGCAAACTTAGGGCATTGTACTCATAGCACCATCTGTTGGACATAAAAGCCTTAACCTAGATTATCTTTTAATTTATATGAATGTTTAACAGAATAATATACAGCCTATGTCCACCCTAAAGTTCCATTCTAAATATTGGTGAAAGAATTTTTGAAATCGGATGAGTAGTTTCAGAGATTACCTGCTACATCCAAACTTACTTACAAACATTACCTCTATAATATTAGTGTAGATATGTGATATGTCACTATAAGCACTGTTTATATTCTACTATTTTTTTATTTTTGTATTTTAATTACAAATGAAGTAAAAATAACATCTTTACTTACATATATTCACTTTTGTCATCATATTATATTGCATTACACTAAAACATTATTCTCATCTTTTTTATTATATACTCATCTAAATTGAAGGCTTTTCCTATGATCAATCATGTTGCTTGTTTTAGACATCCATTGTTATAATCAGGATACTACTTGTAGATGCATGACTGCCACTGGGGTTTTCAAAAAATAGTTTCTGGGTCTATTCTAAGTCTTTTTGCAGTAATCATTCTAATGTTAAAACTAATCAAAACACTTCCTAACTACTAAAGTGATGAAAGCAAGATAGAATAGAATGAATGTGCATAAAAGCTCATTTCTAGCAATTTTATCCCAATGTCACAATGACACAGTAGTCCATTCACTTCTGATTGGTCGATGCACATTTTACATACATATTCATGGTGAAAGTTAAACTGTATTATAACAAGTAGGCAAGAAATGCTTAACAGTGTCCTGGAAAATCCAGTGTGCATGGGATTTCCAGTGTGCAGTGTGCTCTCTAGCAGACAACACCAAGCTGGCAAGGACAACTACAATTCAGAAAAGGTAATCAAATGAGCAAATACTAATACTAGGTAATTTGTAGATAAAGAAATGTGCACTTAGTATTTCCCATCATCTTTAGCTGAAGATTTTAAAATTTAAGTAGAAGTCCTGTGAATTTTTTGTGGTTTTATTAACGTTGAAAATACTAAAGAGTAAAGGTTCAAAAAAATATTTCAGTCTGATTAATCAATTTCACAAAAACTATTAAATTTAAATTCAAGGTTTGTCAAGTGTTTTTTTAAATTATTTAAACACAGAGCTTCTTCATAGTACAAGTTGACTAATTATGCCAATATTATTATTACCAAACCAACAGATACTATCTATCAGTTCATTCAACAATGTGAACAAGTGAAATTTCAAAACAATGTGATCAAACCAGCAACAGTTGCAAATACAGCTCTCCCTTGATAGTCCGACGTTTTTTAATCCGACATGCTCAGTAGTCCGACGCACCTCCCGTCAAGGTACCTGTCCCCGTTACGTGTCTGCTTGCACAGAAGCGTGTCGCGACGTGAATCTCTCCACCCAATTCTTACACAATGACACACATTTCGTGTGTTTCCGTCATCAGTTCTGTTCGAACAGTTGGAGTAGGGAATATTGTATACTACTGCTAGCAAAACAATGCCAAATATGTAATCGCTTTCGGTAATCCGGACACTTTTGGTAATCCGACACCCCTTTGGTCTCATACCTGTCAGATTATCAAGGGACAGCTGTATAGTAAAATGCATTTCTGCAACGATTACTGTTCCTACTGTGTACAAAGCATTTAAAAAATAATTCATTCCATTATACATAAGAACATGTTTACAACACAATTAAGTTCTTAAACCATGACTTAGAGTTGAAAAAAAATAACCAAAAGTAAGCATCTGTATCCAAAATCTATTTTAAATGAACAAGTTTACCTGATTCAGTAATGCAGAATTTTCCTTAATTAAAGCCAAGTGTATTTTTTCTTTGGCATTTATGATAAAATTTGAAAATGTAGTTACTTTAAAACTGCAAAACTCTTCTAAATTCTATAAATAATAATTATAAAAAAAAAAAACATCACATGAAGTATTCAATTTGTTTTTTATTATAAATGTTTCACTAATAACTTGTGTTTGATAAGCTGCATATTTCAAAATTTGTTCACTATTCTTCGTTTTTTTTTTGTTTATTATAGGTTGTATTGCAAAGAACAAGTAGAATAATTGTTTTATGACAATAATTTTATGATAATGAGAGCTAGGGCTGCTTTTCAGATCCCTTTATACATTATAAAGTTCTTCCCAGATAACAAAAACAGTCAGCCATGACGACTTTCTATACACATCACCATTGCCATGACAACAATCTATATCAAGATCGGTCATTCAAACAGAAGTTAAATTGCTCTCAGAAGTTTATGTTTAAAAATTCTCATTTAAATTTGGCTGAACATAATCACCCGACTTTTTTTGCACACTAGAAATTTTGTCTAATTTTTTCACAGTACAGTATTTTTTGTATTTTGTTTTTTAATAGTTTTTGGTTAAGACATAAAAAAATGTTTTCGTAAAGCACATTCCATGTCTGTAATACTTGCAATACTAATCGAGACACAGTACAATCAGCATCCAGTATTGGTGCTATTGCATCACAATGCAGTCGACCGGAACGTGAGATGAAAAGTATCTCTGACCTACTTCCGTTATACTATGCTCAAACACGGCTCGACTCACTTAGTGCTCATTTTACGCCGGCATAAAATATCACGATCATACAACTAAAAATAATTACAGCAAGGAAATATAAAATATAAAACATGACTGATGGTATTACACTTAACTTTATAAACAAATATAAATTGCAACATTTAACATAGCTAAAATGCTTTGTTTCTGTTGTTCATCCGTCGTTCGCTCCAGTTGACAGTCCACAATTTCATAAGCACTTTTTTACCATATTTGCATTTTATTGCAGAAGCAGCAGTCTCAAAAGAAAGGTCACCTCTGTGCTTGTGAAATTGTGGACTGTCAACTGGAGCAAACGACAGATGAATAACAGAAGCAAAGCATTTTAGCTTTGTTAAATGTTGCAATTTTATATTTGTTTATACAATTAAGTGTAACAGAATTACGGCAAGGATTTTTACACCAGTGGACTCTCTAATTGTAATATTACCCGTAAGGTAATATTACAATTAATATCACAGGGTACTATCATTGCACATTTACAGATACAGACTGTATAAAGTTTATAATCCAGCCTTACAGCTTTCATAAAACAAAACAGCAAAGTCATAAAAACATGTTTTAACACTCACTAAATAATGATTATAAAAAGTCAATCATTTCGAATTGGTTAAATTCCAGATACGTATACCATCATGGCTGCTCATATCTGATTCCAGTAAACAAAAGAAACAGTGGGGACGCACGCTCTAACCTAACCTAGTCTAATAAATTACCATAATTATTACCAACCAAATTATTAGAATAGGTTAGGTTAGGTTAGAACGTGCGTCCCCACTGTTTGCTGGAATCAGAGATGAGCCGCCATGACGGTATACATATCTAGAATTTAACCGTTAATTCAATTAGGATTCGACCGACAATAGAATTCATCATTGAAACGATTATTCGTAGACGATATCCGCGTTTTCGCAAATATCGTCTACGAATTAACAAAAATTAATACGAATAAAACGTAATGTAACTTACAAAACGTAGAACTCTCGTCGAAAGATCTGGCAGCTCGAATCGGCTTCGTTTTACCAGTAATTAACGCCGCTCCTGGACGAAAAATAACGGTATAATCCACTTCTTGTTATTTCGCTTCTTTTGCCGAAATTTACTTAGAATTTCACGCTCCGTCCCCACTCGCCACACAATTCTTCACTTTTAAACACCGCAATCGATTTAAATCGTCCCGCCACTCGCAATGGCGTCGGGGGAATTATCGAATTGCTCGATTACCATCCGGCCACGTCGCAATCCGTACCGAAAAATAGCCTAAAAATATCTCAAACTTCTCAAGAAAAATAGTAAAAATAAAAGAAAAAGCAAATGCTGATTCATGCGTTCTTCGATTTCTCGTCTGGGAATTATTAAATATTAACGCGTCTTTCGTACGCGTTTAATATATTCGTAGAAAGTCCCGACGTAAACGTTTAATATGGCCTTCGGACAGAACGACGTATTAAAATTTAACGACAAAATTCGATTATATTTCGAAGTACGAAATAGTCTGTTGCGTGCGAAGTAAATTTTTTATATACTAAAGTAAGGTACTTTGGCCCTTGCCGCCCACTCTGGCCCGTCTTCTCGTTCGATTCGCCGAATTATTTCTGATACAGATTTGGAGGTAATGGATGGCCGCCGTCAGTTAGACGAAACCTGGCCGTCTTTCTCCATCCATTTACATCTCCACCAAGACTGTCTTTATCAGAAGGTTGTAAACGTGAATTAGTTAAGTCCACGACCACGTTTTAAACTAAAACAACATTTATTTACAACAATCCTCGAGTACACTTAAGAGAGAGCTACACGTGCTCATGGCAGCGATCACCCGACAAGAAGAAGAAGCAACAATACCCAGAATTCCACTCTGGGAAAAACCTAGTTCCCGTTTTTCTATCTGGGATTCACGGGAAACTCGTAGAGGAGTGGCGCCATCTCACCAGTCCGTGATTTGTCGCCGCAGATTATTCGTTACAAAATTTCAATAAAACCGCCGTGTGTACCTTCGTCTGTTCCCAGTGTGCATTCTGTAACGTAAACTAACTTCGCATTTGTTTCGAAATACACCTGTAGCCTCGGTTGGAATAAAATAAATTTCATTCGCATCGCGTAAAACTAACTTTCCGTTTAACTCGAACCTTCCGAACAAAATACATTACATACATATATATATTTTCTACCGGTTGAACGTCTCAATGTTTACTTTTCCGGCCGTTACACAGAGGAAAAATATGGCGAACCGGCAAAAATTGACCCCAGACTATTACATTTTTGGAGTTACGACATCTTGAAACGTCGAGAAATGCAAGAGAATGCGGCAGTAATTTCTGTATGTAGGTTTATGGACGTTAGTTTGTATGTGGGACACGATTTTGTTCACCCTGTTTGCAGCTTAATAAGTCTTATGGTTTTTGTCGAAAATTTCTGAAATTTTGCAGGAAGGTTCGTCATGGAGATTGATGCTATCCACTCGACCGCTGGTGGGCATTTTTTTTGTTTTTTTTAACTCCTTTCGCTTTGTGGGCACTAAGAGGGTTTCTTTTTGCATGCTCATTATGGGTTCGGCCAGGCCCACAATAGGGCTGCTGGGTAGTGAGGGACGGGGCCCGACGAATCCGAACGGACCACCCCCCGAAAAATTCCTGGGGATTTTTCGTCCTGTTCGGATTCGAGCTCGGGTGCATCAGAGCGGTGAGTTGCCACCTTGACCACTCGGCCATCCGGCCGTTGTACCAAATGTAGTTTAAGAATATATTGGAGATTACATCGTCATTTCGTTACGATTCCTCCAAACACGAAAACAGATAATCGAACAATGTACTTCAACTATTTTCTCATATTTCTTCGACAGACGATTACGCAAATCCAGGATTAAGAACTATCTTTAGTACAGAATTACTGATTTCGCGTTCCACGAGTTTAAGATTAGACGTGAACTGCCGTTAGTAATTAATCCACCAAATTTGGCCAATTGATGCAATAAGCTTCGTAATCATAAAGAAAGAGTTTTCTTACTTTGCACAGAACGTCGTGTGAATAAGAAATAACTCGGAATTACTCACGAATTCCACGACGTTTAATTTGTGATCGATCCAATTCTATTAAAATGTTTGAAGACCAACTGTTTGTTGAAACATATGGACTCTCCGAAAGAGCTGTGGTACATGTATGTGACGAAATTTAGCATCTGTTGCCCTTATTCAATACATGTAGAAATCATACTACGTCTGTTCTGTTGGCGCCTCGAACGCAACCGTATTTGTTTAGTTCAAAAAATAATAATAATAGTTTTTGAATTTCGAGCTGAGAGTATTTTTATAACGGCCATTTTTGTACCAGTGTCTGATTCCGCGTTAAACCTGTTCTTGCAAAATTGCAAGTACTGTACTTTCATACTTTTACAGCCCACAGGTCGTGAAGGAAAAGCGAGAGGAAAAAAAGCGGCAAATTTGCACGCAAATAGGTTTGAGTTCGCACTTCTCTAGGTCATCTATTTAAGATAGGAAAAATTTCTTAATCACCGGAATGTGACAATTAGAGGCGATAGAGGCGTAATGCATTTAGGGATAAGTATAGAGTAAAGTAAATAAAAAATTTTTGTCTCTCAAAGCAATCCTGTCTTTCTCTTTATTTTTTTAAGCGGCTCTCATTTCATCTGAATAAATTAACTAGAGTTTTCGAATTTTTCGGCCTCCATAAGTCAGAAAGGATTGGAAAATTATTTTTCCGAGTACTGATCAATAGTACACATAAGCAAAAACAGATTATCTGATTCCGTTGTATTTAAAATTGTTTTATTAATATACATTTTTTAATCAAAAAATCAAGAAACAGTTGCAGTGTAAACGTGATTCTCACGGCTCGCCTGGTTTCTTTTGTTTGCGGTGTTTACTCTGGCGCCCTATCTGTTCAGTTTAAATCGCGCTTCACTTTCGATGTTTTTTTAGTTTTGGCCGCCGCGAATTTATAGAGTTTTTTAGTACTTGCAAAAGACGCAATCCGTTTCGGATAGTTTGTTCACGTGCAGCCGTAGAAAAACAAAGTGAACGTGCACAATCGCAAATTTTCGAGCATTGCGAATTCCCGTGGCATTACTAACAGCTGAATTTTACGCGAAGCGCAAAGAGATTGTTGTTTGTTCGTTTATACGTGTGCTCCCATGTAGTCTAGTGGTGAGGATACCTGGCTCTCACCCAGGTGGCCCGGGGTCGATTTCCAACGTGGGAACTCGCTACTGTTCGCTTTTTTTTATATCGCCCATCGATGCATCTTGGCGCTGCCGATTATTGTTTTGTACTCCCACTCGAACATTCAAATCCATCAGCAAAAATTTTCAGGAGACTTGAAGTTTCGAACGTAGGTCGGTACGATTGCTTCGAAAAAGGAAAAAAACAGCGCTCGTAAAGTAGACGACTTAAAAACGCAGAAGCGAAGAAAAATTTCCCACGCCGGGAATCGAACCCGGGCCTCCTGGGTGAAAGCCAGGTATCCTAGCCACTAGACCACGTGGGAAGTCGTTCATTCCACCTCCATCAACTCCTTTATAATTACAAGTTACGGGTCGTTAGGTTAACATCTCGGCTCGTTCCAATCTAACTCCTGCTTTTTTCATTTCTCTCTACACTTTTCGCTAGTCGATCTGCTGCTGTACGTCGAAAAATATTCGCAACGTTCGTTACCGAAGCTGCGACGTTGTCGATTCCACTGTGAAAATAAAGGACTCGATGACGTGCAAACGGCTATCACGAAACCAAACTCTGGATTACTGCGAAAGTCGTGCGCATTCACTGAAACAGCCTTATTAAAGACGGCACTACGTGTCCAAATAAATAGCCTGCAGATCAACTGATGAAGTCTTTATCGTTATGTCGAGAAGCAAACAAAAATAAAAACAAAGTCTGTTTACGACGTTCGCAATCTGCAAAATAAAACTACTGGCTCGTGTGGGGGTCGAACCCACGGCCTTCGCGTTATTAGCACGACGCTCTAACCGACTGAGCTAACGAGCCGCGTATACCAGGCGAATCTTTAAGAATATATTGCAGATTAGATCGTCATTCCGTTACGATTCCTCCAAACACGAAAACAGATAATCGAACAATGTACTTCAACTATTTTCTCATATTTCTTCGACAGACGATTACGCAAATCCAGGATTAAGAACTATCTTTAGTACAGAATTACTGATTTCGCGTTCCACGAGTTTAAGATTAGACGTGAACTGCCATTAGTAATTAATCCACCAAATTCGGCCAATTGGTGCAATAAGCTTCGTAATCATAAAGAAATTGTTTTTTTCAACGATTTTGACAGAGAATGTTCTGGAAGTATTTAGAACATTCTCTGTCAAAATCGTTAATAATTTCTCCTAAGTCCGTCTTATTTTGTAGCTTGGAAGCGAGTGACTCCCACACATTGATCGCCGATATGACCGAATTTGTTGCATTTTTTACATTAATGGGTAGTGAACTGTCTCCGTAAGTGGCCCTTATTTTTACATCGGTAACATAACGAGGGACAGCCGGCTATTACGACCGCTCCAGACATACCTCTGACCTTAATAATAAAGTATGGTAGTGATTCTAAGTTCACATCCCTTTTTAATTCTATCCATATCCGTCTTTTGTTCGTAAGAATATGTTCTAACTTTTTGACGTTGCATTTAACGAATTCGCACTTTACTATTCTTTCGTAATTTACAAAATGTTTCGTCACAAGTTCGTTAAATAGTTCGAGAGGGAGCCAGTGTATTGTGGTTATTATTTTCCGGTTTTCTATATTTATTATATTACAGGGCTTACCTTTTACACTAATAGTTTCTTTATTCAAAAGAGTTTCCGCTGTAACTTCATTCTTAAGTCCGATAATAAAGACATGAGTCACTACAGAGGCGCCAAAATAAATAATATCGTTTCCAGGATCGACTACAAAAAGTAGGGTCTTCCTCCAGTCTATATCATTTGGGAAGTTTAACAACTTCATAATTTCGGCATTCGATAAGGCACTTATATTATAACGGGTTGTACTGGGCGAATCACCCATGCTTTCAGCACTAGAAACAGAGTGAGGCCCAGAGCCGTAACTAGGCAGGTGCAACAGGTGCATTCGCACAGGGCCCACTTTGAAAGGGGGCCCAAAATGCTGTTCACAAGAAATTATAGTTTTAAATCTTAAATTTTTTCTCCTTTTTATTGGCGATTACATTTTGCCTTATTTAGACCCTAGATGTCTGCTCACCAGTGTTCCCAACCGTGGCGACTTTTAGAGGGACGTAGGGAGATAGCGGAGACCGCAGACAAATCAGCAAAACTTTTTAAATTTTGTTTATTTATTTTTTTGAGAAATTTAAATTTATGTTTATAGTTTTCAAATTTATACATTTTTCTCTACTTTATAGAGCTCTCTGGCGACGACTAATATTATTACGATATACAAAACTGTATTTCTAGATTTTTCTAGTGTGCAGAGCTAGAAATCTGTAAAAGTAACATTTTGTAAGAAAAATAAATCTTCCCGGGGATTTTTTTAATTGCTAAATTGCTAAATAGAAAACGTGGTAACTCTCGAATAAAATTTTAGTCTCGAGGTTGTAAAAGGCGTGCAGAAATTCTGACATAACGTTTTGCTTTATAGTGGTACGCATATGTGTTGTATACCTCAACGGTGGTAAGCGAACTATGCGGCCGAGTAGGGCCTCGAAGGGACCCCCGAAATCTTTAAAATGCTACTGAAAAAAGGCTAATTTTTGCTTTCTCTATGGCTCTTCTTTACAATATACGAATGTTGCTGATTTAAAAAAAAATCAGCTGCAGATCCCACTATTAAGTATAGCAAAGATTTAAAAAAGTACGAATTCACAAGTGAAATTGAAAGTTTTAATTTTGAAGTAACGACTCTTATACAAAATATAGAAACTGCAATCTCCGCTTAATATTCTACAGGCTCTTCATGATTTTGGTTTAATTGAGTCTTACCCAAATATCAATGTCGCTCTTCGAATATTTCTAACTCTTCCCGTTTCTATTGCTTCGTGCGAGAGAAGTTTTAGCCAGTTAAAATTAATAAAAAATTTATTAAGATTAACTATCGGGCAAGAACGATTGTCCAATATTTCTATTATTTCAATAGAATACAGGCATATCTCGACTTACGTCGTTTCGAGTTACGTCGTTCCCGATTATACGTCGCTTGTTAAA